CGACCACCGTCCCCACGTGGTGCTCGTCCCCGTAGCCCCGGAGGCCGCCCACCTTACGAAGGTGCAGCGGCTGATTACCCACCCCGCCGCTACTAGGCGCACGAGGTAAGTTGAGTCCATCGCGTATCTGGTTCAAAGCACTTGCTGATATCGAGCAAGTGAGCGTCAACATTCCTGAAGACTGCTCATCTCCTGGAACACGAACCTCCGAGACCATCATGCCCACGGATATGGATTATGCAGTGACGGAGCCGAAAGACGAACGGAGGATTGAGTGTGCGGCATGAACCCACGAGACTGATTATGTGTTTCTTGCTTCCCGGTTTCATTTGGATGTTCCATGTAATTGCTGTTTCTGATGCGATCCCTTCCCGGTCCACTGGCCATTACGAGAGGGCGGTTTCCTTTATGCTGGATTCCTTATTGCCATCTTAAATGCATAAGGTGGCCTAATTTTCCTGTAACATCAAAAAAGTCCTTCCCGTACATATGGACTTCGTATATCTGATTATTTGTGGCTATGGTTTGTCATGTACTCTATGGGCGGCTCTGTTCGCAGACTAGCTGCAGCGAACATGAATCAACGTACCCGAAATCTGCCCCATCCGCTCCAGGTCTCTGTGAAGCCATGAGGAGTCCTGTCATCCATAATCAGATGCACGTCATTTGCAGGACACTTTGGCCATGGTCGTTGGCTTTTTCTGGTTCCATAGTGAAACTATGACCACTAACACGCTACCTATAGAAATGCAAGCCAGATATAAGGACCCGCCATGTGCCCAATAGATCGTTCCGAGATGATAACATGCCAAAGTTTTGCCCTTGACTCATTTTTCGCCTCGCATAAATACTCTGCAATTTCTCATCTCCTTTTCCAAAGTCTTCCAACTCTTCCATCCTCCCATCACAAACCAACACTGCATTAAGACAAAAGCAACTCTACCCTATCGAAGATATGGGTTCTTCAGCCAGCAAGAGCATCGAATCAAGCTCGTCCAGCAGTGTCCCACGCTACTCCTCCAAAATCTGCCAACTCTACCTCATCAGCGCAAGCCCAGGCTCCAACACCGCACACTGGAGACTCTTCCTTGACGATGGCACAAACCAGCTGACTGGTACAACATGGGAAGTAAACTACATAAATGAGCGACCAAATCGCGGCGCCTTACTTCTTGACCAAACCTTCCCAAGAAGCGCTTCGCACCAGAACGCCTTCGAATGCAACCGGAAGAGTTTTGTCAAGATTGGTGATTTGATGGACAAGGGATCAGACGCCACGATAATTCATGGCGCCCAATCTTCGTTCAGAAAGATTGATGCGGCAAAAGAGAGGGTTCTACGAGAGTTCACGTACAAAGTGGCCACTGCCAACTGCCAAAGTTTCGTCATTGACGTCTTGAGCATGCTCCGGCAATGGGATCCAGACCTCGTTAATAAGAAAGCCATCGAAACCGTTCAGCGCTTGTGCTTCCCCACGGTGCGTCTCACAACAAAAAGCAGACAGAAAAAAATCCAACGCCAGGATGCGAAGCATGGTCAGGCGCAACGACCAAATTTTACCTCGAGCTGTGGAGCTTTTTCTGGTATCGATATCGATGCGCCGAGGAAACATCACGACGCGCAAGGAAGAGCTGTACAGCGGAATGCGATGTCAGAGATGGTACCGTATTCGAGATGGGAGGCCAGGCCGCAACGGGCTTCTCAGGCAGTGGTGTCGGAGGATAGAGGGAATTACACTACGATCCCTGGGGCATGGTACAGACTGTGGATTCAGAGACACAACATCATAATATGGAATAAAATGAAACAGATACTACTGCTGTGTCCTAGTACATCTAGTACATGATTTTTTAATGTTTGGATGCAAAACAATATATTTAATGATTCCTCAAAAGCAGACTCTTGCGCTTATGCGACTTTTCCCTTGCGTGATTCCGTACACGTGAAACGCCAATTCCTAAGCAATTTAAACCCAGCTTGAAACACCATAATGCCAAATCAAATCCAAGATCCATGACTTTGTGAGATACCTATATCCCATCAATAACGCCGTATGCCATCATGACCAGAGCGCCCTCTAGCCACGGGGCGTATCGGCCCTCTTAGATCTGTGTCCACTCTTCATCGCTAGAGTAGTCGGTCCCGGTAGCGGATAGTAGATCAACTACGGGAGTGGGGATCAACTCGGGGCTGGACATCGGTTCGTCGTCGCTGGAGTAGTCGGTGCCAGTCGCGGCTAGTATGTCGACCACCGGACGAGAAGTCAACTCAGGGCTAGACATCGGGTCGTCGAACGTAGTCAGGCTCTGGACTTTGGGTCGGGACACCAACGTGAATCCCTGATCGTCTTCAAGACACTCCTCGTCGGACTCTTGGATCGTAGCTGGCTGTGCAACCTTGGGGCGACGAACAAATGTAAGGATTCCGGAATCGACCATGTTGTCCTGATCGGTCTCTACAGCTGTAAAGTTCTCGCCAGATGGGTAGCATGAAGGGCTGGGTGTTTCCGGAAGAGTATCGCACATCATCTCATCTGGTAGGTCCCTTGACGCAAGGAGAGTCGGACGATCGCAAGGTTGAACCTGGAGAGTGTCGAGACATAACCGCACAATGTCGAATGCACCTATGATAGTTAGCGTAGGATGTGAATCTACTTGTAGTGTCTTACACTCATCCTGGAAATTGCGTTCCATGTTCGTGCGACATAGGTCCTGGCGGAAGTCCGGGATTTCAGCAGCGATCTTGAGAAACTCAACATCCTCTCCTAGCTTGTGGTAGAGGAAATTTGAGATGCAGTAGTTGAGAAGTGACGGAACGAGGTCGTGCTCCCGACGAGCCTGCTGACTGGCATAGTGACGATATACAAAACGAATAGTCTCGACCAAGTCATGGGGCGCGGCGGGTACACAGCAGGCGAATTCGAGCTGGCACGAGAAGTTGCCGTGCGCGAGAAGTTGCAATTCCGGAACATCGAAATCCTCGGCTATCTTGTACGTCTCGGCATGTGGAAGAAACGACACTGGATCATAGTCTGCTCGAGGCGGAAGATAGCTACCAGTGTAGCAGAACCGAAGAAGCGAGACGACAGCATGCTCGGATAGGGTCTCAATACTCGCTTGTAGGCGACTCTGGAAACGGTACTCAAAGGCGTGGTACAGGAGCGGACCTAGTATGTGGGTGTACGAAGTCAGTAGATGTTGGCATGCAACCGTATGGGACATTACTGACATCTGTCCAAGAACTTGAACGGGCAGATGCGATCAGAGATCTGACGGACCTCGCCGCTGGGGAGGACTATCTTCAGCGTCGCATTGCTCTGGCCTCGCTCCATGTGCTCGTCTAGGAAGGAGAGACCGTCCATGTTGAATTTGAACGGGAATGCACAAAGAAGCGAGTTGGAAGTCCCTGCGCTACCCTCAGGAGTGCTATGCGGCTTGATGGTTAATGTGAGGCCTCCGGGTGTAGCAGCAAGGCTGCTGGTGAGGCGTCGCAATCAAATCAAGCTGCCGATGTAAGCGACTGAGAAGTTGTGCGAAGTGTTGGGTAGTTCGGAAGGTATGCCAAAATTTCAAAGCCTTTGACTCAATGGAGAGATTTCGTGGTCAGTCTGACAAGGCTCAGAAGTTGGGGTGGGTAGGGCCAGGCAACCGTGGGCACGCGGGCAGAGCCAAGCACCCGCCTTTGGAGAGCCTGCTGGTCAGCGTCAGGTACGTCAGGGTAAGCCAGCAGTTTTCAGAAGTGAGTGCAATCCAGCGTGCTAGAATGTGTATGAATAGAGAGTTGTATAACAACAGAGGTGCTTGGGGCTGCCTCCATGGAGGGGTGCCGGTATGGCTGTCATGTCTTATTGGCTTCGCAAAATCGACACCAAATGGGCATCCAATCAGTGGAAGAACCATTGTACAGCCTCACATATAGGGCTGAGATGTCAGCTGCATCTGATGTTTAGTGGTTGGTGTTGAGGGGGTCTGGTCGGTGATGTGCCGGTGCCGAGCTGGGGAAAGCGGCCCACAGCGCGATCCACTTCGCGGCGGCCGCTGGAGGCGGCTTCATGGCGGCCAATCTCTCCACTAAACTTGAACATCGCACATCTTCGTCAACCGCATTCTGTGTTCTCGACGACTGAGTGTCATCAGTTAATTGGAACTGCTCTGTGCCTCCTCGTACCTCTGCACCTCCAATTGACGCCCCTTTATCTCTATCTTCGTCCCGTCCGTGTACAATCTCCGCTACGCCCCGCCATGGGATTCCTTTCTATTCTACCTGCGAACTTGGCTGTGGTCGAAACCTGGATCACGCGCATATTCGTGAGTATTGCTCGGCTTCATCGATTGAAAGTGATCTTCTAACGCAGAATAGCTCTTTCTCGGCCTCGTAGCCATCGGCCCATGGGCAGCGCTGCTCGTCTACGATCTTATCCTATATTGCTGTCGCGCTGGCGCATACGAGATACCAGTCATCGGCGGACGCGCTCGCGGCAAAGCGAGACCACGCGCTCCTAGCCTCACAGAGCGCCCGAGTGGCCACCGTCGGAAATTCAGCATTGCCTCTCGAGGCATCGAAAGGCCGGTTCTGATCACAGGGGGTACCGACCCTCAGGATGCTCGGCATCGTCGTATAACGGAAGAGAAGACGGCAGATGTTTCCTGAGAGCGTAGTTGGAGACAGCCCTACAATTGAATCTCGTTCGGCGGAATGCTGCCACGCTGTTTTCAAGAGCTGGACCTCTGTGCATGCCTTCGGATACCGGTGATCAACATGGCTTTCGGTATCTCAGATGCCGGGACCCCGAATTGGAAGTCCCTCTGCAGAGTGTTAGAATTCTCGGGAGATCGACCACAGTGCGACGTATTTAAGCACCGAGGAAGCCATTGCGCCTTCATAGCACGAGATTGAACTGCGTCGTAGAAGATCCGCATAGTCTTGCGAGCGGTTGACTTCGAACGAAAGTGAGACTATAAAGGCGACAATTTCGCTCATGTCAGCTCATGACTTGCGCAATGGCAATGTCTCTTTCCGGAGACACATTCATGCGTTCTATGCCGCATACCTTGCTTCTGAAAGAGAGTTGGGGGCGCATATCGCTACACGTTTCAAGTGAACAGCTGCGCCAATCACGCGAGACTATGTTTCTAACGTCGCGCAAATACCCAGGCGGGCTATCGAATCCATAAAGTAGGGTGGTAGGCCCAGTGTAGCTTAGCGCGGTCTGGGTCGCGCCTTCTGTCAATAAACCTACAGTTCACGCTCACCTCTCATCAACACCACAACGACAGCTCTACCTCTGCGACTTACTTCCACCCACTTTCTCCGTTCACAAACTAATACCACCTTCAATCAGTATCTGCTATTCGTCATGGCTGCTACCACCACCAAGACTGCGACACCGAAGCCGGCTAGCACCGCGGGTGTCAAGAAGGCTGGTCCTAAAGGCGGTCGCATCGCCAAGAAGGGCAACGCGAGAAACGCGATGATCAAGATGCAAGCATACTGTAAGTCTGCATCGTTTGACGCGTTTTGACGCGTTATTCGGACGCGTTCCTCCAGGCGCAAGAACAACACCTCAGGGGACGACCGATCCGCTAACGAACGATAACAGTCAAGGCCCACCGCGATGAGTACAAGGATCTCTCTTTCAAGGAGCAACAGCAAGAGCTTGGCAAGAAGGTACGTCATCTCCGTATAATAATGAGTAACCATGCTAACACTTCACAGTGGAAGGCTTCACCCGAGAACCCCAAGAACAACGTCTAATCTCACCTGGAGTTGTTCAACAGCTTTCACTTTCCTCTGTCTACTGTGAGAACACAGTGGAATAAGGATTACCCTTCACTTTCCTCAGTCATGTTCACTTTCCTGGTCTTATCATGGATTGACGGTACGCGGCCGGCGTTTGGGTTGATGGGCGGGAACAATCACGGCGCATAGGTTACTGTCACGATCCGCTTTACAGCAATATGGAAGAAATTGATCCAACTCGTTCTTCGCATATGCACGTGTATTAACTGTGTTGTTCCTGCACCTTGAGCGACACAAATCCTTTAGGCTAATTGCGAAGCAGTTGTACAGATCGAGACGAATCTCGGTGCCGTGTTCCGGAAGATGACCAGGCTGGTGTCGACGTGATAGCTATTCGAGAACTAGCTGTTGATGAACTTCGGGGCATCGTGAGTGGCACACGAGTGCAGCTAGTAGCTGCTATCATATGAAGAAGCCAAAACTATGATGGCATAATTGGTGTATAGTGAGCCAACAGGCCGCATGTTCAGTCATTAAGAGCAGATCAATGAGTGAAGAAAGATAGTTGGGGAGGGGAACTGTAGACATGTCAAGCATTTTCATGATGAGGATATGGACTGGCAAAGGAAGGATATTTGTCCGGTAGCGCCCGCCACTGCTTGTAAGCTCTTGGTAAGCTGGCGCTGGAAGCTGCCCCGCCCCGCATCCAGGTACCGAGAGCCCCTCCGACATCATCACCTCCACCTCTTGAACTCTTTGCCGGCGCCTGCAACCCTGTCCATCGCAGTTGCGCGACCTATGAGCTTTGCGCTATCGTCAGCGGACGTCTTTTGAGATGGGGCCCGATTCGGCGGCTTTCGCGTCGAGCTTCGCGGTTGCTTTCGTTCGTCAATGTCGCAGCTAGCTTCAAGTGCACTCCTTCCCTTCTTCGAATAGCTTCGCAAGCTTGTTGTGTCCTTTCCTTTGGAAGCCGTGAAGTCATCTTCATCTTCGTGTGCTTGGTTCTACGACCGTGACATCTTTCGTCTGAAGCTTGCCCAATCTCGACTCCAAACCCTCTGCAACGTCCACGTCTCATCAGACGGCACAATGGCATCTAGCAAGGGCGCAGACGCCTCCACGGTTCCTGTCCTCAAAGATCTCACAATCGAAAACATCACCGAGAATGTGCATCGAATAAACTCGCAATGCGCAGACCCGCGCCTCAAGTACGTCATGGAGCGTCTGGTGTCGCATCTACACGACTTCGCACGCGAGACGCGCCTGAGCTTCGATGAGTGGATGGCAGGCATACAGTTCCTTACCCAGGTAGGACAAATATGCACAGACGTGCGACAGGTAAGTTTCCATCTGATCCTCGTGGTACAAGACCAAGACACCCGATCTGTACTAATACGTTGTAGGAATTCATCCTTCTTTCAGACATTGTCGGCCTCTCTCTCCTCGTAGACTCTATAGACCATCCCAAACCGGCCTCCTCCACCGAGGGCACAGTCCTCGGTCCGTTCCACACGCACGACGCACCCTCCGACTCCAACGGCACCTCCATCTCTGCCGATCCCGACGGCGAGTCCCTGCTCGTCCTCAGCACGGTCAAAACCACGAACGGCGAGCCCGTATCAGACGTCAAGATCGACGTGTGGGAAACAGACTCCAAAGGCAAATACGACGTGCAGTATGAGAACAGGGGTGACAAAGCAGATGGCCGTGCGGTTATAAGGAGTGACAAGGATGGCGTATTTTGGTTCAAGGGTATCGTACCCGTACCGTATCCAATTCCCAACGACGGGCCTGTTGGCAAGTTGCTTGAGAAATTGGGTAGGCATTGCTGGAGGCCGAGCCATATGCATTTTATGTTTGAGAAGGAGGGTTTCGATAACTTGGTTACGTGAGTCTCCGCTTCAGCACTCTTTGTTTGCATAGCCTACTGACGCCATGTTCAGGGCATTATACGTCCGTGGTTCCGACTACGAGACCTCCGACGCCGTCTTTGGTGTCAAGGAATCTCTCATTGTCAGCTTAGATACCGTAACAGCTGAACAGGCCAAGGAGTATGATGTCAAGGAAGGATCAAAATTGCTCAAATACGATTTCGTGTTGGTAACGGATGAAGAAACGAAGCAATTACGACATGACGAAGCGGTAAAAGCAATGAAGATGTTGGGACGGGAGGGAATGATGATAGTCAATGGTCTGCCCGTACCTGAGGTCGACTAGTCTGCAAAATAAAATGGAATGTTATGAAATTCGGGGTATGATAACTAAGGTCTTGCTAATCTGAAAGAAAACGTATCCGTTTGGATAACCACAAGGCTTCGAGCCAAGGTAAATGCAACCTGGAGAGCAACGCCAGGTACGCTGTATGAACTGCAAATGCCAGAAAAAGAAGAGAATCCTCCACATCGTGGACCAACTCGATGCCACCGAGTCAACTGCATCTAGCTAGTGACCCTCCTCACCCACAGGGCGCTCCCGTTCGAGTTTGGATCATCCCTCTCCCTCTTCTTCCATGCGCGATGCAACTTGAGGCCAACATCATGCTCCTCCCTGCGAATCTCATCCAACTCCTCTTGAAACGCCTTCTTCCTCTCTTCCGCGACCCGAGCCTTCTTAAAGTCGGTAAGCAGCGGGTTAGGCGGCGCAGCATTGTTCAAGTCCTTGAGCAAACGATACACGTTGTTGCGACGGATGCGTAGATCTTCTTGCTGCGATTCCAAGTAGGCGATGTGGTCGATGGCACTGAGTTGGGAAGGAGGTAGCGGAAGCGCCTTTTGTGATTTTTGTGATGAGTTGGAGAAGGTGGAGGAGGCGTAAGGGGATCTCGGGCTGGGGGTGTAGACTTTGGCCATGGGTGCGGGTTCCCTGTCTAAGGGGGGTACGGGGCGGCGACGGTTTAGGATCGAGGAAGCGGCCGATATGGGCTCGGTTACGACGCGCTTTCCTTGCGAGGACGAGAGTCCGTTGGGCGGTGAAGGTGGTGGTGAGTGTTGGTATGTCCCCGCACTGTTGTAGGTAGTCCACGAAAACCGGCTGATGGGTGCGTGCTTGTCCTTCTCTGACGTCTCTTTGTTGTATGGCGGCGTCGCAGTCCGCAAGGTGGGGTACAACGTCTGTTCTACTGGCTCTACGGTGGCCGGGGACTGGTTCAGTTGAGTGCGATTGGTTGGTGTGATGGGGCTCGGGTACGATGTGCTTATACCGAGACCTGCTGAAGGTGAGGTTGGAGAGATGTGACCGCTTCGAAGAGGCGTGTTCTTCCCTACTTTGAGCGGGACAATGGGTTTAATGCCGTCGTTGTAACGCATATCGTTATCGCGTGGATCCTTGGGCGCCATTTCGGTTGTTACAGTTTGAGTGTCAGGCAGCTTGGGTGCGGAATCAATGGCAGCTGCAAGCGCGTTTGACCTCGCTTGGTCCGTGCTTGGTGAAATCGTCTTGCGTGGTATTTGAAGTGGTTTGTCTGCAGGCTGGTATTTGAGCGGAGGAGCGATTTCTGATCGTCCCGTCGCTCGGCTCCACGGCTCCACGGGCGGTGGTGAGCGCTTCGACCCGAAGCGGCCAACGCGCTCCCCAAAACTTGTGTTCTTTTTCTCAGGACCACTGACTGAAACCTGATACCCCATGGGCCTAGGGTCTGATGACGGCACACCTTTCGCATAAGAGCCTGGATCGACTGAAGCGGCCTTCCCTGCACTATTAGGCTCGCCTGAATACTCATCCCACTTCACTTTCGCATTTGGCGCAAGCTTGCCCTCCCAGAACTTCTGCTTGGGTGCTGGTGGAGCGTCACCATTCCGAAGGACAGACGGCGCTCTGCGTAGGACGGGGATCTGGCTGCCCGCGCGGGAATCGTCTTCGAGTTGTCTGCGATCGTCGTCCATGGGTGACACGTCACGCATCGAGCGGAATCTTCGCGGTAGGTTAAAAGAGGAGTACTGTTCCGGTTCCGGAGAGCTGGGAGGTGATATGTCTTCGTATGCGGAGGGCGATCTGCCGGTGGGGTTGTCGTTATTGTAGCAGAGTGTGTCTTGTGAGTAGATGGAGGAGGCCGTGGGTACTTCTGAGGCTCTGTAGTTGGGAGGTTCCTGGGGAGACAATAAACTGCGAGACAATCAGCGGTAAGTGAGCAAACGAAATTGCGATACTTACTGCGATAGTTGAGGGAGCGCATAATTATGGTGACTGCCATTTTGCAGGTCGGTCACTTTGGGATTGCGCTTCAGTTGATCCTCGTCATAGGTGGTTTCAAGAAGTACGGGGTTTCCTATTTGCGCATGCCTCTCCCTATCTCGGACGGCGCCCTGTAATCGTTTCCACATTATGGGCGAATCTGCATGAAACGAATATTAGCCCGGCTCGATATTGGTGCAAGTATACATAAGCATCACGAAGTATGGAAGGCGGTATTCTCAGCGGCCCCGAGCTACTTATTTCAGCAAGCCTCTCCTTTTCGCAGCAACCTCAAGAGCCATTGCACTGATTGCATGATTGTTGTATGCTTTTTGAAACCCATCGACATCGCGAGACTTGGCCCGGTCCTAGATCTGGTGGAGATAGTTGTCGGTGCGGGCGATAGGCGAGAGACATGGACCGTCGATCAGAGATGCGGAGGGGCACTACCAGATGCCTTTACTGTATCTGAATGACACAAACACCAGCTCTTTCTGTGCAACCTGGCATTGCGTCCCATCCCAGGACCGGATTGCATGGCAAGCGTATAAACCAACGGGCGATGTCGAGGACGCAAGTACCAAGGCCAAAAGAGCTGGTGATGAGATAAGGAATATGAGTACGTACCGGGTGTAATTATGCGTAAAGAAAGAGGTGTGGAGTTGGTGTTGACTGTTTGTGTTGTTGTTGTGATGGTTGATGCCAGATTAAACAAAGAAACAGCACGTAAGCTTCAAGCCGTGAATCCTTCGGGCGCTGCAGCAGCACCGAGGGCGTAATTTTGGTAAATGAGGGAGGGCGACCAAGTCGAGGTAGAGTTGTCGACGGGTATCAGTGCCGGCCCAGTGCATCTAGGAGAACACCCCACAAACACTCGCGAACTGCGCCTCGACCAAAGCGCCAGCGGCAGGATATCGCACCGGTGCCGCAAGTCTTTGTCTTCACACAGCGGTTCGACAGCAGCGAATTGGTTTGCGACACAATGTTTGGACGGGATAGGGCCGAGGCGCAAGAGGCGGCGTGGGCGAATCAGCGCGTCCCAGCACGGTGGAAATGAATCGCTGTCGCGCGTTTCAGGGCTGGAAAGGGCCCTGTTTCAGAGGCAGCGCGGCAGGGATGGGCTGGGTGCAGCGGCGCGATGCTCAACGTCTGCGCGCAGATGGGCGCGTGCTTGCGGTTGTGCGGTCACGGTGCAAGTGGAGTCGAAGTATCTAAGATTACCATGGCCACTCTCCGGTGAAAGAGGGCAGCCGTCATCATCCGTGGTTGTGCAGGCCGGTGGCTATGTCTCACATGCAGTGCCGTGCTTCCCAGCTGTGATGGCGCCCCTTTGACGGGCAGATGGCAGGCCGCATGCGATTCAATCGTCTGTACATATGTCTCGATTCGGCCCTTGCATGTCAGCCGGCGGACGTCCGTGATAGTTTGGCATGGATGGCTGGTTAGTGCTGAGAGAGTCTTTGGGGTTGCATCATCGGCTGTCATGTCGACCGAGCTCCCCGCCGACCCTCGACCACGCCAGCACCCTTCACCGTCACCACTCTAGCACAGCTGTAGCACATCACCCGCAGCCATGTCAGATGGTATGTCTCTACAAGAGCCACCTTCTGGGACAACGTCGCGCTAACCGCAATAGCACTCCCATCACCTCTGCCGGAGCCAGCGGCAACCCACGCGTAAGCAACCAGCTCCGCTCCTTCACCAACACCTAGCTCACAGCCCTCCAGCGCCTCCGTCTTCACCCCAATAAACATCATCCTCTTCTCTCTCCTCGGCCTGCTCGTCTATCTCCGCCTCAAGCCAGCCGCCCCGCAAACCCTCCCTCGCGCCCCGCCGCCAACCGTCTTCCGCACCTTCACCCCGCCCTCGCTCTTCCCCTACAATGGCTTGAACAACATGCCCGTCTACCTCGCCGTCCGTGGCCGTGTCTTTGACGTTACATCCGGTCGCAACTTCTACGGACCTGGTGGCCCTTATGCAAACTTCGCTGGCCGAGATGCCTCGAGAGGCCTCGCCTGTGGTAGTTTTGACGAGGACATGTTGACCAAGGATTTGGACGGACCGCTGGACACTCTCGAGGGTCTGGATGCCGAGCAGATGGATGCGCTGAGGGGATGGGAGGAGAGATTCGAGGAGAAGTATTTGGTTGTGGGCAAGCTGGTGCCTGTGGGTCATCCCGAGGCCGAAGACACCAAGGCGTAGACCCGACAAGACAGACGTCTAGCAAGAATGCTGTGGAGCCTAAATCTGCCTCATTGAGGCTGAAGGAATGGTATCCGTTCGCCATGTGTCGCCGCGCATGGTCCTGTAACGGTTTGCGATCCGATAAAACCGTCATGCCATATATACTACAAGCCTGTGCCAAAGCAACTGCATGTACACGGATCCAGCCAAAAGGCACGTAGGCAAGGACTGAAGGGGTTTCTCGGTTTCGAAGGGCTCTCTAACGTGAAATCAAGCATCTTCATATTCTTGTAATGGTTTATCGTACGCCTTGACACCTAGCACCGGACCAGTCTTAAGTGAGAGTTGATGAATGCATGGCTTGAACATAGCCTGCCCCTAGTACAACATCTTAGCGTAACCGCCCGAATGCGGGGTTAGCTCTGATAGGCAATCAAATCCCACTTACCTCAACACGACTGATAGCAGACTCACCGCGCTTGTAGCGTCTCTTAGTTCATGCTTCCCATCCTCTCCCCGATGTCATAACGACGCCCTATATGCTTGGCGGGCGCTTTAGATATCAAATACATCCAGACCATCTGTTTGACACGCCTTGAAAGATAATCGAATACAACCATGGATCAACTTAGTCTTGTCGATAAGCCACTAGCATGGTTGCTGCTGCTGGCGGGGGTAATTGTTCTGGCATTGTCCCAGCGAGGTCGACTACAAAAGGCTGTCAGTGTATGAAGTCTCCAGTATTGCATCTTCCCTTAGAGACATTGATAACAACCGGTAATCCAGAGACCTTGGCGGGCGCCGACAACATCACCAAGCACCAACAAACTCGAGTCTATAAATCCAGAAGCCGTATACAATGCCATTACGCCGCTCCCAAACTTCAACCTCGAAACAGAAGCACCTCTCAAGCTTCGTCCTTTCAAACCGAAGTTTCATATGACCATGGGTAGCGTCTCCATCATGAATCTTGAACACTATGACAAGCACTGACACAGATGACATAACAGCTCTTGAGAACACCACCCTAAATAACCTCCTAGCCGTGGACAACACCTACTGCACACGTTTACAAATTCGAACGAAGCTCCTCAATCAAGAACACCACGAAGTCATTGCGTGCAACCCAGAAGCCGTCCCCGCAGTCCAAGAACTCTACGAATGGCTCATAGGAACGTACCTACCCCAACGCTTCCCAAGCCTATACCGCATCACAGAATCAGGCAAACATTTGCGGAACCACGTCACAGATACCCTCATCCCACTACATATGCCAAACGGAGAAGAAGCACTTGAGATCTTAGGTGCGAACATCGATACGGAATTCCTTTTACTCACTCCCTCTCCTCCTACATCTTCGCCTACTGTTCCCACGAAATACGTACTAACGGCCTTTGTAAACTGCTTTCCAAGCGGCTTCAACACACGCTCAAAACTCGGCCAACTCCTCGCTGACATCCACGCTCCCGTCCCCGGGTACGCGGCAAAGCTAGAGAAGAGCATGGATCGCTTCTTTGCCAATCTGCCTGTGGGCAAGATCGTTAAGCGGAGTAATTGGAGCATCAGTACGAATGGGGAGCTGTTCTGCTTGCAGGGTAATCATATGAGTGAAGAGGAGATGCAAAGAAAGCAAGAAGTGGAGGATGTAGAGGAGATTGATCTGAACAAGTCGGTAGTAAGGTGTGAAAGGCAGACGTTGCATCGTTTACCAAAGACTGGAGCACTGGTCTTTGCGTTCAAGGTACGTTTGGCTGGCTTTGCTAGCTGGATTCGGCTAACGAGAACAAGACCTACCAGTATCCCCTACGTGAATTGAGGGACGAGGGAAGTGGGCAGGTTCTTGCGGAAGCTATCGACGGCTTGGGCCTGGGCAGCGTACCAGCCATGACTATCTACAAGCGTCAGGTCGTTTGGGGTGATAAAGTCAAAGCGTTCTTGAGAGGAGAGATTGATGCTTGAAGTATAGACAAGATGTATAGCACATTGATTATTCCACTACACGCATCATATTGACTGTATCTTGAGATACCGGGTGCCCAATATTATACATGTGAACTAACTTTCCACCTCATCACCTTTCCTCCACCGAAAATTTCACATGGATCGGGAGTTCTTCTAGGGACGTCCAAGGCCGATTCCACAAGAAGGCCCACCCACAAGCAAGTGCACAGCAGCACTTACTTTTCGATCCGAGTCCACCACACATCTGCTCCATTGATTGTCGTGTAACCGGTAACCGTGAAGTGAACCATGGTCGAAAGTTGTAAATGAGCAGCGCCGTGAGACTCAAACCCAGTGGTACCCGACCCCACGGTAAATGTGTCCTACTCACTCCGTAGACCGATTACCCTTGTCTATGTTCTCCGCAGGCTCCATCTCCGATACTGGAAACCAGTCTGATGGCAGCCTATAAGGTCCTGTGTTAGTTGTTCATACTCCATACACCAAAGTCCAAGCCCTTGCCCTAGCCGTCTTCTTCGAAGACGGTCCTTATTTTCACGCTCAAAGCAAAGAAGCAGAACAACGCCAAAAGTCAAGAAAATTGCAACGCTGAAATCCATGTTGTAGAGCTTACCGACGAATAGTGGAGGTACCAACTGGATTGCCACGTTTCATCATGGGTGGCTTGACGACAGCAGACTTTGCAGGTGTGGCGGTCTTAGGCGCGGGGTTCTTACTGGCGAAGAATTTGTGCGCGAGAGCTTCCTTTGGCGATAGACGCTTTTCGACGTTCATGTGTAGACTTGCGCTCAACAGATCCGCAAGATCGTTCAGCTCGCCCACGGTAGGTCCTCCAGTGGAGATGCTTCGGGCAGCTTCATGAACTCGCGTCTTCATATCGCGGTTGATCTTCTTCTGCTGTTCAATTTTACGGACAGAGAGCTTTGGCTCGTTAGCTTTACCTCTTAAAGGGACAAAAGCGCTTACCTTGTTGTACTGATCCACCTCCCGACTGATGAACTTCAACGGTGGACCCAACTCAAAGTTATCGAGAATATTGTTGACGAGACCCTTCTTGAGCAGCTTCTCGCTTGGCCATCCCAGACAGTCCATAAAAGACTTGATCATCTGGTTGTTAGACCGTCCGGTAAAGAGGATTTTACCAGTCCATAGCTCATACACAGTGCAACCCACAGCCCACATGTCGACAGGATAGCCAACCTCCATACCAAGTATGATCTCGGGTGCGCGGTAGAATCGACTAACGAGGTACTCAGTGCGCTCGATCACGTCTCGCTTGTCGACAGCGGTACCGAAATCGGCGAGCTTGATAGTTTTCTTGTCAGCAGAGACTAGGACGTTGTCTGGCTTTAGATCAAGGTGGATGACCTGACAGTTCTGCAAGTGCTGGAGACCAAGAAACATCTGACGCGCATAGATGCGGACAGCTGGAAGTGTGAGGCCGTGGCCGTTGGTCTCTTCCTTGAGCAGGTCTCGCAGGTTCTTCGACATGTGTTCGAACACGATGCACAGATGGCCCTTGTGGTCGAAAGAACCCAATAAGCGAATAATGTGACGCTTGTCCTGTGGGTCTGCCTCGTTGACTTTGCGCAGGAAGTCCATTTCCTTCTGACTGGCTCTTCTCATCAAGTCGTTCCGGCGAATCATCTTGATAGCGACTATCCTGGGATTTGAATCTCCGGTGTCAGCCCTGACTTCTTCAGCTTGTGCGACGTTGGCAAAGACACCACGGCCAAGACCCTTGATCATGCGATAGCGTCCACCATCCACTAGCTCGTTGCTGATCAGTTTGTAGTAGCCTTCGGGGTCGTCCCAATTGTCGAGCAGCTTCTCGTCAAGCACAGTGCCTTTCGCAACAACAGCCTCCTCAGTTCCGACATCTTCTTCCTCGTCTTCGTCATCAGAAGCGAACATGTCGAACTCTTTCTTTTGTTTCTTGACAGGTGCTACTTTCTCAGCTGGAAGTGTAGAGAGGGCTTTCGGGTCGGTCTCGCGGTACGCATCCGAGGATACTTCGGTGTTCTGGTTCTTCTTGGCAGCGCGATCGCGGTCGTCCAGCATGTCCTGTAGCGGGTCGTAATCCGCCGCGGATGGACTCGCTACCGCAGGACTGTTGCCCTCGCTGATTACGTTCTGTTTGTCGATTACCATAACGTCTGGTGAAGCTGGTACGGAGTCGAGGTCGCCATTACGGGGCGATGCGAACGGTGAGATGGGACTGTCGGCGTGGGCCGCTGGCGATCCGACATTAGGGGTTGCCGCTTCAGATGCATTCGTCAGCACAGCCTGCTGAAGCAGACTGTCTTTCGGCTTCTGTTGCTCAGAAGCAGCGGCGCGTATAGCAGCCCAGCGGCGACGTTTCTCTTCACGCGATTCTTGAGTGGGAACTTTCTCTTCGACAGGGGCCGGGGTGTACTCAGTCGTATCGTCAACGGAGGTCCTATTGCAGAGTCAGTTGTGTAGAGGAATCATTTGGCACTGGGTACACTTACATCTCAACATCTTCTGTCACGCTTGCCTTGTTCGCCTCGGCCTTGGGGCGTTCTGACGGTGCCTGTTGCTTCTGTGGCTGCGACTGACGAGACTTGTCGCGCTGCTGATCTCCGTGACGCGAGTTCTGTGGTCGCTTGTCGGTAGGCAGCGGCTCTCGGAAGTCTGGCACGGGGTTGGGGTTCTCGACTTCGGCGTATGATATGGGCCTGGCGTGTGATCGGTCTGGTACATCCTTCTGTTCCTTGACAAAGCCTCCCTGGTACGATCCTGGAGCCCGTCGAGGGTCACCGTGTCTGCCACGATCAGCATGATACCGCTTGTCAGGACGACTGCGCGGCGGAGAGGCCTTGCGCTTGTAGCCCCTTGCATCATTCCCAGTGTGGTCGGCTCGGCTTCGTCGATAGGGCGATGGCGATCGGTCGACGGCGCGGTTCCTCCGATAGGGTGACGGAGAGCGTGATGGGGTGCGCTTGCGGCGGTATGGCGAAGGGGAGCGACTCAATGCGCGGTAGTTATCATAAGCACCATCCAGTCCAAAGGACCTGCTTGAGCCGTTAATCGCAGGTTCGTCGCGCGAGTTGACTGTGTTTGCCTTGTGTCGGGTATCCAAGACCTCGCCCTCTGAAGCTGAACTTGAGCGAGACGCTGCCATGTTGGCTCTTGCTATGATGCTGGACCGCGCTATCTTGCTTCAGAAGATAAATTCTGGCGTCAGCTTGCTTCTTGTTGATGAGAAGATTGAGTGTCTCTATCACTGACTGTGTAGCAGAGAAGGAGAGACAAGCGCGACCGCACCGAGATGGTGAGTAGGAACGCGCTGGTGATGGGTGAATTCGTCGTGGTCTCGTCGCGGTTGGCTTCGCGATTCAGCGGGGAAAGTGCAATGAAGTCAGAGCTTTAGGCATTACCTAAGCAGGCACGTGACCTAATAATCCATCCCTCAGCAAGACCACGTTTGCCTCTCCAAGCCAGCGCTCAATGTTCTCGATATCATCTCGGTCGATTGGTCAGGTTATTTGATACAACAATATGTAGTGGAAGTCCAAGCTTTTGAGCCGTTGGGATGTTTCCCAAGCCCGCCCGAGTGACTTGACGAAGTGCCCAGGTGGACTTACCCGTACGTACTCTACTCCGACGTTTATAGAATTACCAACCTTACGAAAGACTTCGTAGCGGCTAGAACAAGACGTCTGCTTTGACCAGACGCCGCTTCCGTTGACGCAAGCAACGGCCAGATGAAATTTACCCAGTTGTATGGTCCTGGACAGCGTCAAAAAGGGTGTGTATGCTGGTAAGGCGTCCAAGGACAGTTCATGATCAACTGACAGCGCACTTGTGCCTCATCGTGCCGTGCTTTCTTGCTCTTTCCGCTTTGCGAGGGGCCAAAGCGGCGATGGTCTGATTCCCGTGATTCATGTCGAAATCCACGACAGCAGTCCATGACTCTTCGCAGGGGAGTTCCACAAAACGACTTCGTTACGGGTTGTAGTTGCTGTGTCACTGCCCAATATCAACTGGATCGCCTGTAACAAATAGCATCGGATGCATCCCGCCGAAAGTATCCTCGCCTCGCCTCGACGCCTACCGAGGCTGTGCAGCCTTTGGTGACGGGTCTCATGCGATGGGGCTAAGCACCCGGTGTTGCGCCTCCCTCCGTCTACCTTGGTAGCTTACGCGCACGAAGATCTTCCGCATCTAAGATTCGCGAGCCGATCCATGTAACAGTAACATGCCGGTTGTAGTCCAGTAAGCCAATGTCTCTGGGTAAGGTAGGCGAGTTGTTTTTTTCGATTCTCGCATGCCGCGGAAATGCTTCAAGCATGATCACCATCAACATTGTGAACGAACGCATGTTATCCTTGCCAAACGACTATCTAAGCGATTGACAATCGCGCAGCAGAATACGAGACACTTCCACGCCTTAGGCGTGTTGGTATGGAAAGCACGGTGTGCGTCACGCTCACAGGTTGCAGCGGTGAACGATAGCTCACATACACTCCACCTAGGTACAAAGAAGAAAAGTGTCCACCATGTGGAAATGCAAACACGGGCCATGTGTTCGGCTGAAGGCTATGACAAAGGCATCAAAAGTCGCAAGTCTCTTCTCCAGAACCGCAGAGTACGACTAAATGTTCTACACTGTACACCGTAGTGTAGCTAGGTAAAGGAGAAATCCAGGTGAGATAAACTTTGCGCTACCTATGAGCAAAGGGTGCATGAAAGTCGTACGATTGACCCTGCAGGAAATGATATTCAACATAGCCGAGCTTCGGTACTCATCATGTTGTTGGACGGAACGGGTGCAATGAATGAGTACGTTACCCGAAGCGTACTTGATCTGATAGCTCTGCTAGCCACGTTTTCAAACACTTCATTGTGTGCGCTATTCACGTATGTCACCGAAGATCTTCGGGGTTTGGATGACCCTGTGGCTAGATTGGACGAAGTTCCGAACCAATCGCGAACGTCGGCGTGGCTTCCGTAGCCACTGACGTGCTGAAGGC